TCACTCCTGAAAAAACTGAAGAGGAACCAATCCTTCTTGTTAAAATTGTTGTTGTAATCGCGTTATTTATACTTAAAGGTTTATCTGCTACATACATTGAAGCTGGACATGATATTTCGGGTGCTCTCGTTATTGCTTGGACTTTGATTGGTATTTTTGTCGAGCAAGAAGATTTAGTTATCCATTGGGTAGCTCTCGTTCTTGCCGTCTTGTCAATTCTTCATATCATCAAAGGTATTGTTGATCTTATTCGCAGAAACAGAACAGACGGAGAATACACCCCATTGAGTAGTGCTTGAAGAAAATGAACTATACTTTTTAATCTTGATATGAATCATTAAGTACATTTAAATAAAAATGGATATATGTTAGGAGAATTTCTATTTTTCTATTATACATTTCATATTTAGCTACTTATTTAGTTGCTATGATGATAATCTTATATATCAAATAATTAAAGATGTTCTTTTATATATTTTTAAAATAAAATGTTGGTATACATCTTATTTTGTATAAAATACGTCAGCTTTGCAGTAACACAAATATAGCCAATTAGTATAAAGGCGGGGTAATTTTGACCGAATATGCAAAGTCGATCGTAAGACTGAATCGGTTCGGCAACTTTCTTCCTAGTGGTCAATCATTTACAATGGTATTTATATATATATAAAGTTTAAGAATGTAACATTTCACGAGAGAAAAATAAAAATTTTGACCATCTCAATCTTCAAACAACAGTTACTATGAGAAGTAACGTGACGCAAATTACTATGTAAATTCTATAATGTAGGAATTAAACTGCCCTCCCAAAGAAAACTTTTTTCATACTATATATGTGGAAAACTTTTTTCATATGCGGTAAACTTTTTTCATACTATGTTAACTACCCTTCGAATTCTAAGTAAAGAGTAGTAGTTGACATTATAGGATTTACATAGTAATTTGTATCACGGTACACTAATACTGTAGAACAAAAATATACTACTGTACATAAGCTTATAAATGTAGTTACAGTATAAGTAGCACGCCTGCCATCC